CCTCTCAGCTGCGCCATGCAGCGGCAGAATATCGTCGAAACAATTGTGTACGGGCTTTTCGCTAGTACCTGTGCTGTTAGTATGATATCACCTTATCTAAAAGATCACAAAGTGTAAAGTCTCAGTAAACCCCATATTCCTAATCATCCCTACATCGTTTTCGATATGAGCTCGACAAATAGTAGACGTGATATTGTATGCAAAACTGGTTTTCAAATAGGAAATATCGAATAGATGCATGCATTAAAATAAGCTGCATTCTGCTCAAACATATTTTTAGTTCTATTCTACAGCATCCCTACATGGCGTATTTTGTCATTCAGTCGCCTGCAGAAATGAAGGTGGTATACCTACAAGTGTATCATCTTAATTAAGCAGTAACGTATGCTTAAACATCGCAATAAGTCTTAAAAAGACTAAACTGTAGAATGAATATTAACTGAAAATGCGTGGATGCGGAGAAAATCCTAATCATTTGAAATGGGACTCTGAAGAATTTTCCATTTGCGCAAAACAAGATTGACGGCGGTTGTATAATATTACCGGTTTCGTTATCAGCCCACGCCACGTTCAGCTGAACGGACACATTAAATTGATTATAGGCAAAGACAGAAAAGCGCAATCACAAAGACACTGGAGAACGTAACTGTCATTACCGGTTTCTTGGCCGTCATTAACCAGCCATACATATTTCCAGGCTTTATAATGCTTAGCGTTTGCTCTACTGGCCAGTTACCTAAAAGACCGGATTCATGGCCACTGACAAACATGTTTATTGCCCAGTGGGAAATGTTATTCCGCTTCTGGTAGTGCTTAAGAATGAGTCACATCGCAAACAGCGACAGCAATCGTTGAGTGTCGTTCTAACGTTGATATGCATATTTTACGTGATCAAATTGTGCCTTTTATTCTAGGTGTGCAAGAGTTTTTTCTGGGTGTGGGTGTAGAAAATACTTTATGCAATCAATCCTCTATTACGAAAATAAACTTATTCGTTATTATATGCTATAGCTCATACTTACGGATATATTTCATGCAAGCATATGCTTTGCACAAAAACAGAGTGCATATTACGAGCGGATATGTCGTCATCATCCTCGAGGGTAAGTTACATACAGCCTATTTCTGTTAAGACAAGACATGACGCCCCTTATTGGTCCATCTGGCTGCTTTTCATTGGAGATCCGTTTGTAAAATATCTTCTCTGCCACATCTTTTCCTCGGCAGCCGGATAATAAGAAACACTCAATTTTTTACAGTCGTTAGGTATAAAATGTATTTATTACACTGCGTGATGAGACTTAAAGCAGCAACGGGACATCCTTGTCGGTTTAGACATATTCGTCCATCATTTTCACCTGGAGAGCAGAATTTTATGAGTGACTCCCTGTTCTTACTTCGCATCATGCTGGCTGATTAACGAATTCTTTAAAGTTGACCTCGAGCTGTATTGCAAGTACAGCCTACTCCTGTTTCTTTAACCCAACCCTAGCATAAAATTTAACCTGATCCACAACCCTAACAAAAGCCTAAAAATGACCACTGGAACTTGACACGAAGTTTCTATAAGCATTCCAGTCAACATTAATCAACGGTTGTGAAATAACCACGGAATGCTCATTCTATAAAACTGTAGCAATACACGTAGTGTGAAATATATACTGCAAAGGCACTATATTGTACTCTCGAAATGGGTATTAGATAACGGCCCAGGCAGGTGTTTCATCCATATTCTGCCGCTGTCTAACACAGATGCGAAGGGTTCGGTTCTACACTGGCTCTCGTATGCGGTTTTCTGCATATGAACTCCAGAGAATATTCAGGTTAATCATTTTAGAAATTTTTATCGACCCAAGTGTGAAAAACTCGGCGTCTCGGTGGGATTCGAGCCCACCACAGTAAGGGTAGGCTTTGGTAGAGTCAAGGCTCTCAGCATATGAGCTACAACGGCCCACCGGACAATGTGACTTTAGTCTCACTTGAATCAAACTACCAACCCAGCCTACTTCAAAGTCTGTAATACACAAAATCTAATAGAGTAAGCTGGCCGCTTAATTGGGATCTCTTAGGTATACAATTATCCATATCGGACAAAACGTCTATGAATTGTGTACGTCTGATAGCCATCTGATTGGATTCTAGATGGATTGCTTAGGTAATCCTGCTTGGGCTGTCAGCTTACAATATCCGATTTGGTGGATTGCAGACGTCGCAGCAGGCTGAGCGACGTGACCCACATATTTGATCAAAATCACGCAGCTCCGGTTGCTAGATCTTTGGTTGTACTAAAGCATTCCCCTTCCTATCGTGGGTTCGATTTCCACTGAGACACTGAGCTTTTCACAGTTGGGTCAACATGCATTTCTGAAATTATTTGATTGATTGATTGATCCTTTACCGATTGTGCGAGTGAAATTGAAGTTGAAATAAAAAAGGCGAGAAGTTGAAATGCGGATCAAAGCTAAAGACATGCTATCGACATATAATGTACTTGCTGATGCAGGTTTTTGATGCCTACTTAGCGCAAACCAGTGTCTACAAAGATCAGTCACGTCTTATGGCATCTATCCGACTAAAAGCTAAATAGGCTCACCTATGTCAACCATGTCAGTGTGGAAAACATATAAACGTACACTTGGAAGCTAACGAATTAGTGAAACATCGTCGGCATTGTCGACTGTTGGGCGACTTAAAACGACCTCTCAGCTAACGGATTTTCTTATTCGTTCCGACCAGTAGTTCATCGAATTTTCTCATTGAAAACGAAAGTAAAAGAGCCAGTCGAGTCTTAAATTAATCTAGAATTGGAAATATCGTTTACAAATAAAGACAGGCTATGAATACATGATATGCTTACTAGTTTATATTAGTGATGTCTATAAAGCGCACACCAATGTCTGCAGTCATCGGTCACTTCGAACCAAATAGCATCTCACTTAATCTAACACCTTAAGAGAACAATAAGGTGGTATCAATTTCCTATTAATTTATGCGCGCTAACGTGCATCTCTCAAACTGCATTATCTGATCTGACAGCTCGACATAGGACGAAAACCACCATGCCCGATAAATGCGTTTTCTCAAGGAGCTCCGAAATTTCCATTGATTGTCGTGCCCCCATCTGATAACATTAGCATACCTTTTTATCACGGGAGTTAATGTACTCTGTTACATCAGTCAAATTTTATATTAAATCTACATTCAACTAACTTAGCTGGTCAGTTTGAAATGCCTGTTCTTACAATGTCGGGTAAAAGATTTCCTCTCTTTTGACAATTTTTAGTTTAAACAAGTAATATAAATTAGTTGGGTGCTGATCATAATGTATGGTGGACCATCTTGTGTGTATTATTTTTGTCTGATGAAAAATATTGAACATTCTCAAGACAATGTTTGTTGCCACTCATTTCCGACGCTCAAAGCACACAGCTTAATTTATTTCGAGCGATTTGCATCAACACCTACTGTCCTAGTTACTTCGCGACACGCGTTCTTACCAACATTATATAATCTCAAAACATATGATCCTCAATGTTGAATTTACCTGCTGCTATTGTCCTAAATGGGTTTCTGGAAGATAAAGTGCGTTCCATATTACTGCAGTCCGCCAGCATCTATCACTTCTTTATCTGATAATCAATTTACTGAACTTGAACTTATTGAAGGCCTTATCTGAGTGACAGCTTCTTAATAATTTAAACTGCCTCCTTGAACTTGACTAGTTGCTTCTCTGAGCCACAAGTCAACCTCTTATTGATAGCGCGTAGATGGGATTTATATGCACGCATAAAGCTGGCTGAAGCGTAAAAGGCAGGCAATAAATTTTGCATATTTTCTGGCTCACAAAATTTTAGTCAGCAAATAATGGAATCGTAAACATTTCGCTAATGTGTGCGTACATGAGATGAGGAAGGTCGATGTGAACCTCTTCAGTTTGATTATGATCGGGTGCAAAACACTAAGCACATTGAAATACGGCACGTTCATCGGTAACCTATATTCCATAACTGTTTAATATTTTTAATGGTCCATATAAGTTAGGTGTTATAAAATGATGACTTTACTAGCTTTCGCGTTGTTACTGTCCACTTGTTTTTTGTTTATCTTCTATATCTGTGAAATACAAGCAGTATATCATGGTGCTAGTTTGCATCATAGTCTGGTTTACTTTGCCGATAATGTCGGCATTCTGGACCTACTACATACTATTTTTTTGGTTTAAAGAATTGAAAATTATCGGTGTTGCTGGCAAAGCCTGCGCAATCTTTTACTTAGGTCAACTCCTCTGACCTATGCCTTTGTTCAAAAGCACAGAAAAGAAATTATCCCCAATGAACATTCCATGTTGGGACGTTTTACTGTAATGTAACAAGATACGCAAGTCAATGTGCTGTTACCCATGATGCATGAAGCACCATTTCGGGATTATGAGTTGAGCAAGGGACTAAGAAAATGATAAAACTCTGCGCTGGGAGTCGAAACTATATTTGGTTTGTTCGTGGGAAATTTTCAAAGCTCTATGTGTGTTTTCGTAAATAATGTCTACCCGATATCATAAACCACTATTTAACGAAGCGCTATTTGTACCATTAGAATATGCGCATGCGTCGATTAAATTATGTGGACTTCTAACCTTATACAATTACGAAGAATCTAGTCGATAGATGTTATTTACGTTTTGTATGTGAATTCATAACATATGTGTCCCATATTTCTGCAGTTGGTGGGTATCTATGACCAATTTCGTCGATAGGCCGAGGCAACGATTTTGTATTAGGATGCCGTTATAGAGATGGCTAAGCATGCAGAAATAAAACTATCGATTTTTAGCTCCCACATCTTTTTCTCTTTAGCAACTCTGAGGACCTAACCTCCCAGCTTCTATCGATCTCCGGTCTGTTTGGCTATGTTCTTCTTCATCAGGTGTATAATCAAACAAATGTCCACTCAGGCCAACCGTTTCCCATGGTGGCACTCCGACGTACGGTTTGGCAGAATGGATGTTCGATAGTCTTAATTTTTCGGCCGAAGGCTCACCAACACCAGCAGAATCTGCGTATCAATTCCTCGACCGCATAAAACACCTGAAGTTAGAGCCAGACGAGTCGGTGGTTTCCTTTGATGTCGTTTTGCGCTTTACCTCTATTCCACAGCAACTAGCGATAGACGTTGTTAACCAACTACTGACAGAGCGTTATGAGGAGAGAGACAAACCCCTGAAGTCTGAACATCTGCTCGAGCTTCTGCGATACTGTTTCAAGACCTATTTTACCTTCGGCGGACAAATGTACGAACAAATAAAAGGCACTCCTGTGGGCTCCCCTTCATCAAGCCTAATCGCTGAGGTAGTCCTTCAACGGATAGAACACTTGGTGTTCGCCCAGTATCAACCAAAGTTCTGGGCCCGCTATGTCGAGGACTCTTTCGTTGTTGTCAAAACAACTGACATTGAACACCTAAAGGAACTAATGAATTCGGTTGACCCCGATATCAAATTTACGATGGAAGCGGAAACAAACAACCAACTGCTCTTCCTTGACGTACTTGTGCGCCGGTGTACCACTGGACAGCTGCAACCTACAGTATTCCGAAAATCCACCGACACGAGACAGATCCTACACTTTAACAGCAACCATCCTCTGTCTCACAAACGAAGTTGTGTCCGCACTCTATTCCAAAGAGTCGGAACACACTGCAGCACGCCGGAAGATAAAAAGGCCGAACGATTTTACCTTGTGAACCTCTTTGCAGCCAATGGTTATTCCAGACATTTCATCGATGGAAGCGGTCGTGGGGCGCCCAGATGACGGCCAGATGAGCAGCAGCTCGAAGACTGGAGAGTCATTCCCTACGTTAAAGGAGTCTCTGAAGCGGTCTCATGACTGTTGAAACCAACCAGAGTAGGCATAGCCCATCGACCCCAAGCAACAAGTAGACGTCGCCTGATGCAACCCAAGGACCGATTGCCACCCGCTAACACATCAGCAGTTAAGTGAAAAATAATTTGCAATGCGGGCGACTGCGACTATGTGAGAGAAACCGAGCGCAATTTGCAAACTAGTTTTCAAGAACACAAATCGGCCACTCGGAGTTTAGACCCTAACTCTCAACTAGCAGCACACGTTGGAGAAACAGAGCATACTTTCGACCTCCTGAGAGCCACTATCTTAGGCCGCGACAACACAAAAGCAGAAAGGCTAACTCTTGAGGCGTGGTTCTCCGATGCCCACTCTGTCAAATGGCATTTGGACCTTCCTGTAGCTTAATAAGTCCCGCGTTATCATAATCGTAGAGTTCAGAACCAAACAACTACATTGGGCTTAAGAAGGCTGTACGGAGATAACCTGACGCTGAGTTTATTCTGTGAGACAGAACAAGAACCGCCAGACCGACCGCCTGATAAAGGTCCCATCAGCCCCCTCGATAGAGTGGTGACTAACAAAGCACACAGGCAAAACGCCCGTCAACCATCTCCCGAGAGGTCGAGGCAACGAGAGGAGTGAAAAATCCATCAGCGCGATGCCAGCCAACACAACAAGCCACTTTGAATTAAATTTCTGATCGATTATGTGAATTTTGCAATTTGCCAAAGAGCCGACCAAGCTTTGTGAAACGTCAGCATTTAAATAAACCTCTTCCGGAGATCATATCTTCTTCTTTAAATAAGCAACCCGGATCTCTCAGATTTGCCAATCTGAATAATGTTTTTCCGCTGACCGCATACTGTTCAAAGTTGAATTGGCATGAATATGCAACGAGCAGTGTTAACTGGCTCCATAACCGATGAGTTGAGTGCACAAATATTGTAACCTTAAATGTTCGATCAAGGCAGCGTGCAATGCGAACCTATTTCTCTTTTTAAAATTGGGTTTGCTTCTGTCAGAGTAGAATAGTTGTTTATCCTTTAAGCGGCTTTATTTGAAACGGATCACAAAGAAAGGGAGCATCAATGGCTGTAGGCTACCTGTCAGTGGGGTGCGTTTAGTAAAAGCATCCAGATCGACATAGTTAGATTGCTCGAACGACGGTCCACAGAAGAATGATGATAATTGCGACTGATTACCAATCAACAGCGCCACAACAAGACATTATCCTCATTCCCCAGTCAAATAATCAACTGTCTTTCTTAATGAAACAGCAATGCAAGGAGAAGGAAATTATTGTACTTGTCGATGTCCATGTTTACAAAATATTGGCTTTTGATGATAAGGTGCATGATTTCACGATGATTGGCAAGTACGCATTTTGTACGTAAAAGCGCTCGTTGTCGACCAAAATAGACGTACACTGCTGTCGGTTCGACTGGCGCAATTAAAATGGTAATGACTACAGTTTCCTCGTCAATTTACGACGAAGGCTCTTAAAGCTGTATAAGAGGAATATTCCTCTCACGTTAGCTTTCATATTTGCCAAGGCAATGTGACCGGTTCTAGACTGAAGCTATCACCCAATTCAATGTTACTATTATTGATTGTCTGGGCTTCAAATACATTCCTTTATCATAAATATAATGCCTTATATTTATTTCAAATATGCAAACAACGCCCGAAATCTCTTTAGTCCATTTGTTTACTGAACAGTTTAATAACATTTTATTTTAAAATGGAGCAGACCGTGGCAAAGGAATGGAAATATAAAGGTCTTTGATCACGGATTATTTAGTAAAACCACCTAAGAGATCATTTTTATTTGTAGAAAAGCGCTTAGTTAGATTCCATGTTTGGGAGTTAATTGTAGCAGTGTGCGAGTTAGTCAGTCGAGTAAATATACAAATGTTTCGTCCTACGAAACTGACAAGCATTTGGTAAGGGTGATTTCAATAGCATCTACAAAGCCGACCAGTTATTTGAATGTTTTTTTAATCTGACAGTGGGAGTGCGAAATGGAAATCTTCCTGTTGAGCTCCCCGCTGGGGAGGTGATTAATACTCAGACATTATAACGCATAAATGGTTAGCATTTTGATTTGCAATCACAGGAATATTAACTATTATTTTTGGAATGGTGAGCGTCTTTCCACTGCAAATAAATGTCATTTGCAGCACGATGTGGCCATACTAACGAGCTTGTTGTATACTTCGGCAGGTGTTGTTTTGATGAAATTCGGCGAGTGCTAACGTGCAGGTATAGTTGGATGTTTGCAATTCTTATCTTGTGCATGCGCTTCTACCGGCGAAATTCAATGGTTCCGAGTGGTAGATAATAATTTTAACTTGGTCTGATAAGCAGAATATGCCGTATCAGTTTGAATATCCTCAGTTCCGCACCGTCGCCCACGCACCATCCCAAGGCTGAATAGGGTATGGATGACTCACACTTCCTGAGAGTTTATTGACATCAAATAAACATATTTGTACAGCATAATAATATATAAATAGATATATATATATAAATATATATTGAATTTAAAAACGTTCTTTGGGAAAGGGAGAAAACTTTATTGAGTAAATTTTCGACGTCGGTTCCCCGTGTCGTCGTCAGGCTAGAATAAATGTGCTGAAAACAATTAAATTTCAAACGTGCTACAAAATCAATACTCATTTGGTGCC